TTGGTTTTGTGTTCTTTTACAAAGATTAAAGCCCATGTAGAAATATGGCGAAGCGAAACTGGAGGGCTGGAGGGCAGATGGGATGGAGTTCAAGAAAGCTTCTGAAAAGAAGTACTTTAGCTGATGGCCCTGAGGCTCCAAATGCAAGATGTTCAGACAATGTTGTCCAAACTACTCATGGTCTGTGCATTTTTGGTGGAAAAACCACACTGTGAGATTAAAAAGTGATGCCACACACAGGCACACGCAAAGTAGAGGCTGCTGTAAGACACTTAAGTCAAGCATCATTCAAGAACCAAATGGTGCATGAATAAGACATGAGAGCATCTGGAACTGTGTCAGGTCAAAAAGCTGGACCCACACCTCTACAAAAACACACAAGACAAACCACTTACATTTAAAACCCACCTGCATCTGAGAGAGAGCCTGTTTTTATAAAATTGAATATTTCACTCAACCAATTGTTTTTTTTTTAACTATACTAAACAAAAGGAAAGGGAAAACACATATTTTGTGAAAACTACAGAAAGCAGCACTTAAACCGAGATTAAAACTTCTATACAGGTTGGAAAGATTCGTCTTAGATTATTTTTTGGTACATTAACTTAATTAATCAGGGAACACACATACTGGTAAAAAAAAATGTATAGCCTGAATGCGCTGTAAGTCACTTGGGATAAAAGCGTCTGCTAAATGCATAAATGTATTTATTTAATTGAACTTTTTAGCTTTTTTCAGTACTGAAGAATCAGTGAATTTCTCACTCTCAAATCTTCATGGTGAATCAGAGACCATTCTGAATTTCGGATCTGACGCACTACAGTCCTCTCCTGTTATGAGTCAGATGCACTAAATTATTGGACTTTGCAGTGTTTTGCCACTGTGGAATTCAAAATCTGTTTGAGATGGCAATAAACAGAAGTAACGATTAAAGTTGTTTGTTTGCTCTAAGTAGAGTAATGCAAGATGAGTCCTTCATATCCACTTTCAAATCAGCTTTAGAGAGACATGTACAAAATTACATCTTGAGGAAACTGTTGATTAAACTGTCTTGATGAAGATGCATGTGGATGCATGCTAGTTATCTTCTCTCTCACTCTCTCACTTTCAAAAGAACTGTGGATTTTCAGTTGAAATCTTTATCAGCCCTGCACGCCTCTGTCATCAAGCCATCATTTATTTAGGCTGATGGCTCGCCACAAATGGGCACCACTTCTATCTATAGCAGAATCCCTGACTCCACTCATCCATCTCCAGGATTCATATACATCCATTTCTCTCACACAGTCAGTTGACTAATATGAAAGGCTATAGGAGTGCCATTTGAAAATAAAATGAAGCAATAAATTATACATTTTTTAATAAGTAAAAAATAAAAATGTAAATAAATAATTGGCTTTTCAAATAACAAATAAATAGATGTATTTAGATATTTTTATTTAATTGTTTTTTAAATAAAAACAATTAAAGGCTTTGTTAAATATAGCAATAAAATTATGTATTAATTTAGCAAATTTTCAATAAATAAATAAATATAAAACATTGGCCAAATTGCTCTTCTTTATCCTTTTGCCAATCAATTTTCTTTCTCCATTTGTCAAAAGATACCATATTAGAACACCATATTTAACAGGACTGAAAATGAGGCTGTGAGGGACAAGTACAGTGCATTCAATGGATTTTCTATCCTGATTAAGGTCTATAAGGTAATAAACCTTTAATTGTATGAATTTAATATTTAAATGTATTAATAAAACTTATCTAAGTGTCAAACTGAAATTTGAATAAAAAGCAAAAATAATGGAAAATGTAAGGAATTAATCTAGTAAATCATTCATGTCTTTACATAATATGTACTGTGAGTGTAATATGAATCACATGGCCCTCTGGTGCCTGCAGCTGTCTATTTTAATGATCTAAGCCTTATGTGATGTGAATCTAGTCTTTCACGTGAGTGACTACCAAAAATATTATGAATATGCTGTGTGTTGCTTATGTTTGATGTGTTGATAGTCAAGTCAAGTCACCTTCATTTATATAGTGCTTTACAGATTGTGTCAAAGCAGCTTTACAGTGCTAAACAGAAAAAAACGTGTGCTGATAATGCAAAAGGACAATAGAAAACAGTCAGTTTTTCAGTTAAAGTCGGTTCATCGTTGATTCTGTGATGTCATCATCCAGCTCAGTTCAGTTCTCTTTAAATAGTGCTTGTGTAATCAAGTCAACAATATTGCCAGAAATTGTGTTCCCAACTTAGCAAGCCAAAGGCGACAGTGGCAAGGAACCAAAACTCCATCGGTGACAGAAATGGAGAAAAAACCTGGCTCAGTCAGGGGGTCAGTTCTCCTCTGGCCAGACGATACCAGCATGGTGTGGTTTAATTCCAGGCTGCAACGCAACTCAGATTCAACAGAGGGCTTGTCTGGTTCTCGTGGTCTTGTGCCGATGGCCATCGAGGTGATGAGGTCTTTGCTTGGGATCTGTCTCTGGAGCTCATCTAGTAGATATGGTCTCTGCTGACATTCAGGGCTGTAGAGGTCATCTCTAGGTGCTGATCCACCATCTGGCCCGGATCCAGGTGACTGCAGTGACCAACTGATCTGATATTGACATACTTTTACAATTTACCCCAACATTTCCTCTTTTTAGGCTTTATCTCTGCTTAATAAGGTCTAGCTTTATCTATATATATTTATATGCTCTGTTGCCCAATGTACTGTAACTGTACACTTCTTTAAAGATTATTAAATTGCTGTGGTATTATCAGTACTGAAGCAGTCAGCAGAGTAGGAGATCTGAATGTGCATCATAAGTCCAAAGAGGCGTGTGTGTGTGATAAGAAACACTTCTTGATGTTTCACTTTATCAGCAGTCCTGACAGTGGCCATCTGTGCTTCTTATCCACTACACAGCTCTCCTGGGACAATGAGCAGAGGAACAAATGTTTACATTTAAAGTGTGCGTGTATGAGTTTGCACTGTGCTTGTCATATTAATGCGTGTCGCAGCATTTCGCTCTCTTCAGGAGGTTTATCTGACCAAATGATCAACTGCCCCTTTTTTCCTTTCTGTTAGTAAGATGACACTCGAGAGGGGTGACATCATGGACACATGACTAGAATAATGTCTCCATGTGTGTTCAGGGTTTAACTAGTCTTAAAAGAAAAGTATAGTCTTTTAAAGTCTTTACTCTCAAAGAAATGTACTTTAAATCTTTACCTTCACTTCAGCTAAAAAAAAAAAGGTCAAAGCAGTTATTGAGTTTGAGCCTCTCTGTGATGGTACCACGAGGCGTCGCTCACTAGCAGATCTCAGACTTTTGGAGGGGATGTAGATTCGTAGTAGTGAGTGGAAGTAGGCGGGTGCTGAGCCTGTGGCTGTTCTATATGCAAGCATCAATGTCTTGAACTTGATACGAGCCGCAACCGGTAGCCAGTGCACGGAGATAAAGAGAGGTGTAACATGGGCTCTTTTGGGCTCGTTGAAGACCAGTCGTGGCGCTGCACTCTGAATCATTTGTAGAGGTTTGATTGTGCTTGATGGAAGTCCAGCCAGAAAAGCATTGCAGTAGTCCAGCCTAGAAATGACAAGGGCCTGGACAAGAAGTTGTGCAGCATGCTCCGTTAGAAAGGGCCTGATCTTTCTGATGTTGTGCAATGCAAACCTGCAAGATCGAGCGGTCTTT